TAATATTAAAACTAATACTACTAATAGAAGAAATACACAAAACCGAAATTGCTCTTCCCGATGATGACCATGGGACCGCATGCCCGTTTGCAGTGCTCACATAGCAGGGCAGGCACCCGGATGTCCCAGACTGGACTCCGCCGCAGGCAGGAACTGGATTGAGGGATGCATGGATCAGGGTGAGAGGCAGGAGAGCAAGCAGAGTCCCACCAGGATGCCGGCCGTGAGGGGAAGAGAGGGCTGACTCCCGAGCTTTATACCGAGTATTCCCGTGGGTGGGATGGAATACGGCATTGGTCGGTCCCGGGTCACCTGTGCCCCCTGCAGCTTCCTGGGGGTGCGACCCCTCCTCCGCCTTCCCCCCACGAGGAGCCCAGCACAGCCCAAGAGAGCCCGCAGGGAACAAGCACCCACCCGTGGGCCTTTCTGCATAACAATCCTGCTCCTGCCCCAGCAACAACTACAGACATGAACTGCCATCAGCTCTGACAGCAGGCAATGCCTGAAACCTGCAGTCAGCTTCAGACAGGGCAGTTACTAAAAAAAAAAAAACTTAATTGAAGGGGGAAAGAAAAAAAATAATAAATCTACTGAAAGCACAAATAGTTCTGTTTCAGCCAAATCAGGACAGTCAGAAAGTGGTATAAAATAAGATTTATTTGCAAATTATTTTGACAATAAGGAAACAAGTATCTCCAAGCTGTGTATTCTGGGGATTACACATCAGTTCCTTTGCCTTGTGAGATTTCGATTTGCAGGCAATATGGAATACCTCTAGAATTCAAAATGAACTTTCAAGTGTCCCATTTTGCCTTGCTGTGCTAAACAATTCCTTCTACAGGCACACTGTAGGAGAGTCAGTGTCTTTGTAAGGCGAAGCCAACACAGGAAACGCACAATGAAACCACCTTGGCTTAGAAAGAAAACTGTCATACGAGAGCTGTTTCACAGTTGTTTAAACACAGTGTTAAGCGCTTCAAGATTCCCCACAAGAAGTGCCTAATACTGTATGTTTAAAAAAAAAAAACAAACCACACAACAAAAAACCCACAGAACAAAAAAAAAAAAACAAAACAAAACTCAAGAAAACCGATAAACCCAACAAACACCAACATCTACCCCTAAACCACACAGCTATACCAAGACATCCGATTTCTTTCCAATATAAGAATGTACAGTACATCTGGTTATGACCTGAGTTCCCTCTCTTGGAAGCTAAAGAGCTCTGTCTCATGTTAAAAAAAAAAATCCAAGATTTAATAATAATGACTGTATATAAATGAACTCAGGACAAAAGGAAATACAAAGTGAGAACTGATTTACTTTAGTGCCTGATTGTGGGAGGGTAACCTCTAAATTATGGTTAGAGTCACAGCAGTTGAAGAGGAAGACAGCAGTATCTTCAAAACATTTCTTCAGTTTCTTTCCACCCTTCTCCCCAACCTTGCTCCCTCTGTCTTTCAAAAAGCCAGAAAAATCTCAATTCTGAAGTCATATTTTGAATTAGATGAGATAGGAAGTGTATTCTGAAAACGCTATATGATTCAGTTCTGAGCAGGCCACATTAAGTATATCTTGTTTTAGGGAAAAGTCCAAAAAGGGAACACCAGGAGACACAGTAATAGCTACTCAGTGAGGAAATCAAAGAATCTGAACTAGATCTATTCTCTAATACAGTTCTAGAAAAATATATCTTTTTATAACAAACAGGGACTTTTTTTCTCTTTCTGAAGCTCAGAACAATCCCAGTATGCAACACCGGAAAAAAATTTTTCCCCTCTCTCCCATAAATATAGTAATGCAAGAAAAGATGTCTAGATGTCATTCTCACCAGTTCAAATAAGGCATTAATGAATGCATTAGATCATTCAAATGTAAATAAACATGGTTTTTATATATATTAAAAAAAATATAAAAATACACCCAAAATACTAAAATTACCTTATAAGGGTAACAATACTGTATTGGTGACAACCATTTCATTAACGTATTTAGGCAACAAAAACTGGAGAGAATAATAAAGAGTCTTATAGACATTATTTTATTTTGGTCTACTTTAGAAATACTAAACCAAAATCCAACTGAAAGCTCTTCATCATCAGTCCACACACTATCCCATCCTGGGGGTCTCCCTACCCCTTCTGGGGAACCTACTCCATCTTTACGGAATAAATATACTTGGTCATTTCACATCAACCATAACTGAAAAGATCCTGAGAGCAAAGCCCAGAATTTGGGAATTTCTTGAAGCCGAATGCCCTAGCTAACATCAGACTGCCTCCCAAAAAAGCTCAAAACTGAAAAAGGTATAAAGATTTCAGAACAAATCTTATGTTGACAAACATTGCCCTCTTCAATCCCAACTCAGCCATCTTCCGAGAACAGCAACAATTTACCATTACCTCCAGTGGTTACGCTCTCCCATTAGACAGCTCCAAGGCTTTACTCTTCTAAGCCACGGGTATCCCCCTATGTGGTGTAGTCAAACAAATACAGTGGAGGTTTATCGACTTCTGATTTAGGCAACAGAGATGCACTGCAGCAATTAAGCTGCAGGTGTCAACATTCTATATCAGTCCCTAGATTTCATGGTTTTAACAGTATTTTTGCAAGAGAGAATGTACCACATTTCACTAAGATTCCAAAGGTTGGAAAATCCCTACCCTGAAAATCCACTCTTTGCTGAGGAAGTATCATATTTATTAAGAATGTGAATCAGCTCTGAGAATACCATCTTTAATGGCAACACTTTAAGAAGACCCCATGCAGTCTTAGGAATTTTGTTCTCTTACGTATCCAGGTCCGAAACGTGGAAATGCCCGGGGGTTTTCAGAAGTCTTCTAGAAGTGATCCAGTTTTTAAACGTCATTAAATGTTTTGGTAGAATAATGTTATATGAAATCTGTAATACACTTGCTAACGTTTATAATCCAGTGATCACTTATAAGAAGGATTATTGCATTTTAAGCGTAAAAATATAGGAGGTTCTATAAAGAAAATTAAAATAGCATTAATCTAATATTGATAGTCATATAAAATAACTCACAATTATGTAAGTTTCCATATTTAATTACACATTTAAAAATAAGTTATAAAAATAATTAAGCTTCTTTAAAACCCCTAAGATATTTTCTTTTAGGAGTTTTTACTCATATCTACTGATTGTCTAGCATCAGCAACAGCTTCTGGTACTCGAACAGTCATATCATCCATCCATTTCTTCAAGCAGATTTGGCAGCCTAAACGTGATCTGTAGTGAAACAGGACGTTGTCGTTAGTTCTCGCCAGTCATATATCTAACAGCACTTACCCCCTTAAGCCTCTAACATTCAGCCATCCCAAACACTTCATGATCTTGAAAGAGCCACTTATGCATGGTCTAATCAAGACCAGTAGTGAGCTGCATGCATCAATGCAAAGATAAATGTGGCAATAATCATGATTTATATTAAATAGCAGAGTTCAGTACATTGGAAAGTTGTACATCGAGTATCTCCTACTTGCTGAGACAACATGTAACAAGGATGACCCTTCCATTTTCAATGCACCACTAATAGTTCAGTCAAGTGCAGGGAACGACACTTGATCTTCTAAGGCACATTTGGCATCTCTGAAGAGATGAAGGTAATGAATCTGAAAGAAAGTCTCAGAAAAAAAGCATAGCCTAATCCATCCAGGGTCCAATGTTTTCAAACCGAACAACTCAAGATTGAGTCATTAGGCCAGAAAGGTTGAGTGAAAAGACAAGAAACACAGGGAGGAGAAGGATAAAATAACTCGTGGCACCTGAGGAGATATAATCCTTCATTTTTCTACCTATCATTTAGCGTGAAAAAGTGATGTACGTGAGCAATTAAAATCAAAACATTTAATACCACAACAAAATTCTGCAGACATGATAAGCCACTTTTATTGCTGGGATATCTTTAATTCAACGTCCATGCCGTGGTACTTAAGTATAGAATACTTAAACTTCATCAAGGATGGGCAGTGTTCTGCAGCACCAGTTGAATCATTTAATCAGTATAGGAATGTAGGCAGAGATGTTATAAAAAAAATGGTACTACAGTAATATCTATGCAGAACTCTTTCAAGCATGTAGTCATCAACTGTTGTTAAAGCTCCCAATTCAGTACTATACCCAAAACTAGTATTTCTATGCAAACGACTGTATACATTAACTTCAAATTACTGGAATGTATGGATAAATACATACATTACCAGAAGATTTAGTGCATGATGAATGCATCATGAATATGCATCCCTAAGAATAGCTTTAGAAATTAAATCTATTAGAGATATGTGATTTCTGATATTTATAGGTAGCATTATCAGCAAGGCTTAATTTTACTGCAGCGTCCGTTTTTTACTAATGACCAACACTAGCTGCTTATGTACTCTGTACTGTGGATTCACTTCATGTGACATAACAGGGCCCTTTGTTTTCAGCCTGCTACACAGCAGCACAAAAAAAAAAAGGCAGCACTAAGTAACACCGTGAGAAACAAACTACCTTCTCCTATTCAAATTCTTCCACAGCATTTACAGTTTTATAGATATTTAAGCAGATTCCCTCACCCCTTAAAGCTGAAGAAGTTTGGACCCCCAAAAAAGATGATTTAGTCAATCCTTGCATGAAAGCCATTCTCCCTTTAACCACTTCTATAGGCCTTCCCTTTATTTCCTCTCATTCTACTACTTTGAAAAAAGAAAAAAACCCCAACAAAACAGGAAGTCAAAGTTGCACAAGTATAAAGATATGGTGAATCCCAATTTTGTCATGTAATGGTATTTTCTGGGTTTCTACCTGTTCCTAATTAATATTGCCAATGTTCCATTTACCTTTTAAAGTTTTGTTGTCTTTTTTTTTTTTTGACACCAAACCTTAAGCTGACATTCCTGCAAAGACACTAGCTAGCTGACGGCCTATTTCAAGTATCCAAACTTACTACTGTTCTACTCACCTCTCCATATGCATTTATCTGCACCTTTTAAGATCGAACTTCATTTCCTGTCACTCAATGGCACAAGATCCTTGCACACGCCTTCACTGACAGTTTTCGATTTACACTAAGTACCTTACTTTTCATTCTCTTCTCCCAAATCTTTCACAAATATACTCACTACATAAAACCTAGCACCAATCGCTTTTAGATCACACTGTTGATCACATACTCTTACCAGACAGCCGAATACTTCCACCTTGTTAAAAGACAAATGTTTGGGTTTGTTTTTTTTTTTTAACCAATTACTTATGCTTTACAGGGCCTTTGCTCTTATCCCTTTGCAACTCTAAACTCAGTACAGGATTTCTGGACTTAAGTAAACTACATGAACTGTAAGATGTTTCTTCATGCTCAGTGACCCACCTAAAGAACTTCAATATCTGTTACATCCCTCTACAAAGGCTCTGTTGAATTCTTTCCTTACCATGATACAGTAGAAACTACAAAAAAGCAACAGCCCATAGACATAGGATTAACGTGTCCACTATGGAATCAGAATCACTGTTCTCCAATTCCGATGATCTAATTTTAAAAGTTGGGTTGCTACCTTCCATTCCTTTGATGTGGAAGCAGATTTAAACCAACTAATCAAGCCTTAGACAGTAGTTCAGAAATGTCATATTGAATTCCTGTAGAACTCCTGGGTGAATGCTACCTAGTCATTACCATTTGCTACTACTTATTTTACTTATTTGCTGTAACACAACTTCTACGTACACATCAATTTCAGACAGATATTCCAGAAAGTCCCCTGCAATTAAACTTCCTAGTGCACGGACATTCTGTAATATCTCTAGAGACAACAATGAAAAAGGAACTTTGCTTTTTATATTTTTATACTTTTTGTATTTTAAGTGCACCTTCTACATCACCCCTTGGCTCTTCACGCAGTCAAGTTTCCTGCTTCTGATAGGTTAGAAACAAAAATATTTTTCTATTTTTTAGCAAGTTGTTTCTCATCTTATTTTTTTTCTTCAGTATTCTTTTTAAACATTTACCTTGCCAGGGTTGCATTCCCCTTATCTTACTACTTTTAATAATCTCTACTGTTCTGCAGTTAATCAAAACATTTTCATTTTAACCTTTCTAATTAGTCCCTCATTTAAAAAACATGAGCTTTCATGGCAGCTGCTAGCTGAAACTTCCCCAAATACAGAGAGTCACTGACAAGAAAAAGCTTTTATCCTTATACTTATGACAGAGCATAGTACTGCATCTCCATTACACAGCTTTGTATCAGCACAGGAGACCAGGTAACCTATAGCAAATATCAAACACTTAAAGCTCCATCTTCCAGAAAAGTCGTCCTCTTGCACATATGAAAAATCCCTAGCCATAGGAAGAACACATGATGGTAGGAAAACATGATAGAAGAAACAAGTGTCCTCAGAGGGTCTAAAAGTTAATTTGGTCTGAAGAACTTTGAGAGAAAATAGAAATATTTAAACTGACAGCTCTCGCTTTCTACTGTTTTCAGTTCTTCAGTAAAAACTCCTTGCTTTAAACCTTTAATTAAAAGATAGCCAAAGAAAAAAGTTTGAGATCATTGGTCCCAGAGCTATTTAGGAATTGGTTTGGCCCAGAACCTAAAAGTTACTCTTAGGAGAATTATGGTAGATGGTAAGAGTGAAGTAAATTCACACTTAATAGACTTATGATTTTTTTCAAAATTGAAAGCTTTTTTTTTTTGAGGGGAGACAGGAAAAAGGATAAGACAAAAGAACCTGAAATAAGTTTCTTATAGCTTGACTTCTTTGCCTTCATAACCTCCCAGAAATGTTAAGATTTGGCTGAAGTGAGAAAAAGTGTACTTTCATGTAGAAATGAGTAGTACAGGATTCCCCTTACTGGTATAAGGAGATAAATGAGTTAATTCAGAGTACTTCTTGCAGAGACATAAAAAACCCTACACTATACAGGCCAGGTATAAAGCTCTCTGACATCACTGGAAAGATTCTCAAAAACTTCAACAAGCAGTTCCACTGAAGCACAAAGGAAAGCACTTATGAAACCTTGTAAGGCATAGCTGCCTACTGTTCATCTACTGTACGATCTAGGATACAGGCTACGTGTACACCAGCAAGGAGTACAGCCCACTAGGAATCGGTCTGTGATGAGGATGTGATAACCTAATTACAAAGCGTGTTATGGTAGGGGAAATGTAGAACAGAGCGTTACTTTAGACTACCATTAGTCTCATCCTATGCACCAAAATGCCCATTAGCAGTTAGAGCACATTTTAGGATTAGTTTCACCCAAAAGGGCTTGTGTGCACCAAAAGCCCTCTGACACAAGTTGAAGCATGACAAGTTGGGACACGGCCATGTGGGACACTGTTTATCCTAGAGAAGGCTTGCGGGGAGGATCTTATCAATGTACATAAATACCAGAGAGGTTGTGGAGTCTCCATCCTTGGAGATACTCAAAAGCCATCTGGACATGGTCCTGGGCATCAGCTCTAGGTGGCCCTGCTTGGGCAGGGGGGTTGGACCAGATAACCTCAAGAGGTCCCCTCCAACCTCAACCCTTCTGTGACTTTGTGAGAAGAAGATCTGACCAAAACTAAAATACTAATGTAAAACACATTCATAAAATATATTAACTAGCTACAGACTAATGGAGACAGAAAACAGAAGGGAAAGGAAACAAGAACAAAAAAATTCACACACAACAGCAGCACCACTGGCATCAGACACCTTTGAAGAGCAAGTACTGGTAACTGCCACTCTTTGGTTACAAAAAAAATACTGACATCTTTTTAATATGAATTCAGATAAATAATATTTAAACTTGGTAGTCCCATTTGTGTAACAGAATCCAGCTATTCATTAAAAACTGATTAAGGCATTCTAAGAATACTGGGCTGCCTCATCTGCAAACCCTTCTTTCCATTCTTTCATGTAGTGAAGCGTTACGTTGCCTTACGTATCTGTGAGGCCATACGCCAGGTCCAGCATGTCCATCTCTTCATCAGTAATTGCATCTAGTTTCTCAAATATGTGGTCTTCAAAGATTAAATGACAAGTTGAACAGGCTAGCGTTCCTTCACATGCACCTAAAGAAAAAAAAAATAAATATCAAGGTAACAGAAAATCCAAGATTCAAATCACAGCAGTTTCAGAAGCAGTCCTTCATATCTGTTTGTCTCATACAAGAAGTATCTCTCCTGATTAGTAAAATTGTTTCATATACTCCCACATTCATATATCTACTCTGCATCCAACTGCCCATAGTATTTCTACAGTTCCTACAACATTAAGATTTACTTGAATGCTGTAGTTAGCTAAAATACTTAACTAATTCCCTTTCTACCATTTAAAGAGAGATAAGTTTTCTACTGTAAGAATGCAAAAGCAGACAATGCTGTCAACCAACACTACTTAATTTATTTATTTCCAAGGTTGATCCTTCTATCCCTCTTTCCCATGGTTTTGAGAAGATTTCCTCAAGAAGTTCAACAGAAGACACCTGCTATACAAAAAATTCCTCAGAAGTACAGGAAGGAGAGATTTTATACTTGATATTTCTTCTCATTCAACAGAACACTAATTCACAGCAACAAAGGTAGTCAAGCTAGAGAGAGATGGTTTTCTCTGTTAAAGAGGCCTACCTGTATTACTAGGCAATCCAGCTCAAGCGAAGGATCTAATAATTTGCTAGGGTTAAACAGAACGAGCATCAATTACATCTACCTGCTAGAGCAATTAGGTCATCATAGGACAGTAAAAGTTTGGATGCTAACAAACTTGTCTCTGCCGCTGTATAGGGCTGGCGCTGAGTTCTCCACTTTGCTGAAAGAGAAGCATGCAGCTTCAAGAGGAGGAGAAAGCTGAACTCTTCATACTTGTGTAGAGACTGGGGGTGGGGCACACAAACCCCCACCTCTGATTAAAACTGATAAGTGCACAGCAGGTAACACATTAGCCAAGTTTCATTTATTTACTCATTTCCAGGGAAAGCAGAACTAAGAGTATTTTGACCACATCACTGTTGTACTCATATAGAAACAAAGGGAAGCAAGGCTGCATGTATAACCTCTCCTATGAAAAGAAACAGTGGGATTCATCATCAGATCACAAGAACCATACAGAAAGTACCGTGCTGTTATGTGTAGTAATGGTATCAACAGCCTATGAACAAAGTGAGCATGACACTGTACTAGAAGACTTGATTTTTAAAATATATCACATCTTCAAGTACATACAAATGCACGCGAAAGAGAGTTTAAATTTAAAGTGCCAAATAATGTAAAACTTGTCCTATCAGTAGTTTAAGCATTGTAATGTTGTGGGAGGTAAGGGGATCGGGGTGGGGGGAGGGTGGCAGGGGGAGAAGAAAAAACACTGACCAGTCTATTTGAATAGTGGAATGTCTTTCTGCAACTGTAAAGCTAGCAGTAGCAAGCACATTGAGTGCAGTTGAATCATTCAACAGGTTTGTAAGTCTCTATACAAAGACATTTCTATTATTATTACTGCACATACGATGCCCCCTAGTGATAGAATTAAATAGGTAGAAATTTTACGTTTTTTCCCCCCATTACTTTTTTTTTTAAACATAGAACACACATTTTTATAATATTTATACTGTATTATTTCTCTGTGCTAGTATGACGTTTCATTAGCAAATGATTACTGAAATGGGATTAGCATATGTTATAATTAAAGATTGTTTCAGAAGACTGACTTTAAAGATTTTTAGTTTGGTTTCTGTTTATTGACAGTATTATCTTTTTTTTTCCCCCCCAACTTTACCACAATGCTTTGACATGGTTGATATTTACACAAACTGAGAAAATATTTACTGTGAAATACCAGCAGACTGGCCGTAAGCCTATGTGACACATTGAATTAGCGATACACAAAGCTAATTATCCCAACGCATTACAGATTTTTAAGAGACAATTCTTCCTCAGATGTATGCAACTCTAGACATAAGAGTTGCCTCAGACATAAGTCTGAGACTTAAAATCTTATCAAAGACTTTATTACTAGCAGTGAAATTTATTTGCACTTAAATAAAACACATCTCAGATTTCAAACTATGCTACACTAGCCTACTTATTTTTTTCTCTATTTGCTCCATGCTATCCATTCACTCACGCAAACTGTACCTCCACTTCCCACTTTAGTCTGTACTATTAATTCTTAAGCTCATGTTCATGTAAATACCTGAGGTATTTAATTGCCACTACCAAATATCACTGTTTTGCATGGGTAGAATCCTACAAGTTCAATAGAACAAACTATGGAAAGTGCAAAAGTTTGAAGGAACAGGGAGGTATTATAACTTCCCCTTATTTTGATTTTAAGCAGAATTTGTACTGAGTTAGAATTTCACTAGGGCATTGGTCTCCTTTACCCCAATCCTTTAATAAGAATTAAACTTTTTGCTCTTCCCTGCTAACTGACATGGATCTGGTTGTTTCTTTCACTTAGCACTCAAATACTACAGCACTTTGTGCCACAAAAAGCCTGATGATAATAAATTGAGACAGTATGGCAATACAGCAGTAACCAGACACTTAGAAATCCACAAGTTTTGTGCTGCCTCCAGAACCTTTCAGGTCAGAAGAGTCTGCAGGTGGCATCTTTCAGATTCTACCTTGACAGTGCTCTGTCCACATTCCCTTCCTTTAACATTCAAGCAAGGCTCACCTCATATATTTCTTTAGAAATTATCCCAAAATATTCTATGCACATGCAGGAAAAAATGAGGAGAAAATCCAATAAAGTACAGCTAAGTTTTATAAATAAATTCATAAATAAATAATCATTTAGGGTTGGACTAGATGAACTTAAGGGTTTTTTCCAACCTCTATGATTCTATAAATATTTAAGAATACAGTATTCAGCGAATCTACTTACCAAAACCATCTATGTCTAGATTATTATCAACAACAACATCCAGCAGTGAATCCCCAGGTTTCCCTTTGGCTGTTAGTTTGTCACCATCACGATTTATGAAATGAACGGTTATTTTATCTTCTGAGCTGAAAAGGAAAAGCATACAATGGAATTAAAGAAACAATTCTCAATTTTTTTAGATCTTTAAAATTGATCGAATACTACTAAACCAGTAATCGCTATGAACTCTAACAGCACAGAAACCCAAGTTATTGGCTTTTAAAAGCTGTAGCAGGTACAGGCGATGTTGTATATCGAAAAGAGGCAATGG